CATAGTAACACTAACACTAGTATCAATATATTGACTGATGTCAGCTATACACATAATATCAAGAAACTGTCCTTCCGCTAGTTCTCCATCTACTAAATGTCCAGTAGCATTATACTCAACAATAACTGAAGGAGTTGGTACTATAAAAATAAATAATATAAACATAAAAATTGCTAATAATATAAAAGCACTGAACTGACTGAAAATAATAATGAACTATATATTGATTTTATACTTAAATGTATTAGTACCTTGTACAACTATTGAATAATTTGATGCTACACTAATGATATTGGTAGCAGCCCCATCATTCAGTAGAGCTCCACAAACATATTCTCCAACTTGTGATGGTTGCAATGAACTGAAGTTAAGAGTAAGTGTATATACAACACTATCATTAACTGATATCATTGTAGGCTCTAAAGCATCTAAAACTATGTCTCCATCAGTTGTAGAATTGAAATGATTCAAATTAGAGTTAGCCCAGAACATGTCAATTACAGTAACATTCACTTTAGGAGCTATTGTCAATGTACAGGATAATGAAAAGGAAGATGACAATAGCATCATAACTGGCCTTTGTACATCAATACTGACAACTGAAAATGAAAATGTTATCAAAGTAATAATCAAAATACATTATGGATCATACCTTGAGAAACAGTAACAGTGATTATTTCACTAGGTAAGTCTTCACCAGTAGCTACTAGTCTAATATTATATTTATCATCAGGATATAATGAGAGAGACAGCTCAGTATTTGTAGTGTTGTTACTCATAATAATAATACCATTACTGTTATTAACAAAGACATGATACTGAGGAGTAGCACTAATCACTGCTGAGGGAGACCAGCCTAGTGTAACTGAGAGAAGACTATCTCTACTGTAGGTCAAGTTTGATGGAGATCCAGTTACTTTAAAGAAATAATGATAATCAAGGAATAGCTAGGGCATATACTTACCAGTAACATTCCTCATTGTCATATTAGTAGATACTAAAGGTGTAGCTTTAATTCTGTCAGTAGTAACAAAACATTTATACTGGCCAGACACTCTCATTCTAAATATTACTGATACTTGTACTTGTACATCATTATTAACTGGTGTTACAGTACGTATCAGATCATTATCAGATACATTAAACTGGTTTCCATTATCAACAGAGCAAGTGACTATTGTTGGTGATCTATTAGTGACATTAAATGATAAACTAAACACTGGAGGATCAGCATCAACTGATGAGAGGAGCTGGAATGAGGGATTAAGACCATCAACAATCGGAATTTCTGTACAATGAGTAAATTGAATAAAAGTATTCTAATATTTTAAACTTACCATCATCTTTGAGGAAATTCCCATTGCCATAAGCAGCAACATACAGTGCCTGATTGATTCCTTCTTCATTTGGTATAACACATCTGTATAGTCCTTGAACGTTTCCTATTCCTCCTATTCTTAACAAACCAATTTGACCAGTAGCAGTGTTGTCAGCAAAAAGAGGACTACCAGAACCCAATACAGTTGTTCCATTAGGATAATACCATGTTCCTATCATATTCTGATTAAGAGAACTCTGACACCACAAACCATCATTCTGACCATCAGGACTACCAACAACACCAACAGCATTACCTGGCCCATCTATATCAGTATCATGAAACAAACCAGCAGCTATCATTGAGAAACTAGCAATAGTCACATTTTTCTCACCAAGAAACAATCTTACACCTATTAACACAATAGAGAGGTATTACATAAACTATACACTGACCCTTAGTTGGACGAGGAGGTAGTGAACCAAACTGTTGACATGATACATGAAGTACCAATGATAAGAGAAACAGCCAGGACATTGTAACTTGATCTCAACAGCTCATTAAGTTTGTATGTGGGTTTAAGTGATCAAACTATTAGTAGATCATGTAAACACACATTTTGAAAGTGAATCTACATGTATGTGCATCAATCAGTGCTGGTGTGTGTGTTGTGTGTATGTGTGTGAGTGTGTGTGTGTGTGTGTGTGTGTGTGTGTGTGTGTGTGTGTGTGTGTGTGTGTGTGTGTGTGTGTGTGTGTGTGTGTGTGTGTGTGTGTGTGTGTGCTTATGTCAGTGCCAGTGTGTTATGTATGTATATGCATTATGACAGTGCTAAAGGAATTGTGTAACTGTGGAAGAACTGACATGTATACATAATGCATAATGTTCACATTGTGGTTTAATTGACATGTGTACTACTATTCGTTACATCTTCGTTTCCTCACTGTTTCCCTGTCCACTACTAGAAGAGTAGGCACTAAATTTGGTGCCTATACATACAGTAAACTACCAACGCTAAGCACTATGAAAGTGAGAGTGTTGATAGACAATAATAACTGAGATAAAACTATAAATACACTTACACGTATGTGTACATGTACATACACGTACATTATAAAATATAAAAACAATAAAATATTGTGTAATTTTAATTGCATGTACAAGTATATGTAATAATGATTATATAGATTAGAACAATAATTTTGGAGAAACTGTTGATTGTCAATTATAGTAATAGTTATTCCCACGTGATCTCTATACATTGTATCTTTTCTCATAATAAATACTCCCAAATAATAATACGTATTGCGTATTATACATGTAAGTGTTATAATAATTGTTTTGGCCTTATTTTTGAGCAAATTTAATAATATTTATTATCACTGCTCTATCACTTATTTCTCCCTAGACTAAAGCCCTGTTTACACTATGCCCTTAAAGCGGTTTGGAACCGGTTTAGAAATTAATCAGTTTAGGTGTGGACAATTTCAATGCGGTTTGAAACCGACTTATCCTACTGAAGCAGCTGTATTATGTATGCAATGTAGCATTGTAAACCGATTCAACCACAGTTACATGTGGACACAATTAAGCTGGTTTCTGAACCGCTTTGATCCAAACTGGTTTATAGTGTAAACGGGCTTAAGATATTGACTTTGGCTACACAAACTTTAGAGTGTTTATTATACATGTGTGTGTGTGTGTGTGTGTAATGAGTATTATGGACCATTGTCTATTAATTTTTCTACTGAACATAATACTTACAAATAATTTTAATGTAATATTGTTAGAAGACGTAGTGTTAATTTGTGCATGTCTTACGAGGACTATTGATGCTCAAGAGTTATCATAAAAGGGGATTAGTGAGTGAGCAATAGCATAAACTTTTTAAAACAATTTTAAAACTGCATCAACACTATTTTTTTCAAAGCACACCTTGTCCAATTTTATATATCAATTAAAGGACATTTTTTTTTCATACACAAAGTCACCAACATCTTGCTCCTCATTCTCTCCTTTATTGCATGGGACTATAACCTAATAAAATAAAGGTTGTAGAATAAAGACACATTATGTCACACATGCCATATACCGGTTTATTTTTGCGGTGGAAAATTTTCACGAACCTTGCATTTCTAAGATTTCATGGAATTAATTTTCGAATTAATTAGTTTATATATCCACAGTATTTTATGGTAAATCTGTGCTTGCAGACTGCACCATGTGGCAATAGAGAGCAGAATTTCGCTGTGAAAAAAATTTCGCGAATGATCACCAAACCACGAAATTTGCGACAATATTTTACCACGAAAATAAACCGGTATGCGGTAAAAGTTGGATTTACTTGAAGCAGTAATGGGATTAGCAACATATGCAGGACTGTCGGGAAATGCTATATTAGCAAGACTATCTCCTACAATTGGAGTATCCTGCTCTTGCTGCACTATATCATTATATATATTTATTAGTTCATACTGGTCATCATCAATCATCTCAAAGTCATACAGTTCTTCATCATTTCTATTAAAAATGCCATATTTATACAAACTTTTAATAAAGTAGATAATTCTTACTGTGTTGTAGAAGTATTAGAAACATCAGGTGCTACCCTGACTCCATTATACTTTTTTCTGTACAATACTACAATACTGATGAACACGAGTACCGAGAAAATCATTATTAATGCAATTGACACTATCACTGCTACCAGAAGAACACTACCATCATCAGTATTATTGACATCTGTAGGTGACACTGTATTAACAGACAAGTTTTAGCGTGTGAATATATTGTAACTCTAGAGCTAACTTGCTAGGGAAGTGTTAAATTCTGGTCCTTCAATTAGTCCTACATCACTCAATAGCAATACACTAATACTCACAGTATAAGCTAACTGTGGTTCAGTATCAGTTATATTAACTGATGTGGTATCATAAGCTACTGATATAGTTCTTGTATTAGTTTGTCTTAATGTACTGCTAGTGCTACCATCATCAGGAGTTAATGTGATACTGTATACAAAGAATCCTTTAGCTTCTTCTAGTGTCACTGGATCCCATGATAACACTATTCTATCTCTTATTCTCATTGCTTGTAAATTTGATGGTGATACTGTAACACTACCTGCACATAAAATGACATTATAAATTAATATATAAAATAATTTTACTGTCAGCTTTAGTGAAGACAATAGCAGTTGCTGGGTTTCCTTCACCAACTTGATTGACTGCTACAACTGATACATAATAAGGTACTTTTGCCTCTGTAAAATATATGCATGATCAATATCTACTGCTATTAGATACTAACTTAATCCTCCAAATATTAAAAAATATGATGCTTTTCCAGGCACAAATGAGACATTATTAGAACCAAGTGTAGATAAGGGGCTACTCTTGTTTGAACTAGTAATAGCATCAGTAGCTATTCTAACAATAAATCCAGTGATTTCTCCATTAGGATGAGATGGTGGACTCCATGTTATATTGATAGTAGTTTCATTGAGAACTGCTACAGTATAAGCTACTGTTAAACCATCAATGACAACTGGTGACACTACCAGATGAGGTGAACTAGGAACTGTGTATTGTATTTTAATAAATGTATCATAATAATATACTTACTGTCTGGTAGTGTTCTTCCTGCAGTAGTAGCCACTGGTCCAGCTCCAATGATTGTACTAGCACTAACACTAGCAGTGTAATTCTGATATGGACCAAAACCATTAACATTATGATGAATAAATCTTTGATCAGGATTCACTTTAATAATGAAAGACATTGATTTTGATTCATCCAGATTAGTTACAGTTAAATTATATCTGATAATAATTCCATGAGTAATGGCTGGTTCGATCCATGAAAATAAAATAGAATATTGATCAGGAATGGAAGTAAAATTTCGAGGTGAGTCGACTGCAACAAATAATTCATAAAGTAATTTACAAATTATTGTACTTACCACTTTGGGCTGTTTCAAAAGTACACTGGGTTGAAGGTCCTTCTCCTACTACATTAATAAATGACAGCTCACAAGTGTAACCAGTAAAAGGCATAACATCAGTAATAGTGAACATTGTGTCCGTTGAAGATCGCGTTGGGCTCAATCCATTGACTGATACACCATTAGTATTCATACATGTTAAATTATAACCAACTGGTGCTCCATTTTGTTCTATTAGTGCTGGTCCAGTCCAAGTAATTGTAATGGAAAGAGGTAGAAAAGTTGTATTAATACAGTTCATTGGATAACCTGCTGGTACTATAAAAATATAAAAAATAGTTTGTGTGTGTAGGACAAAAGAGTATTAATGTATCTAAAAGTCTTCTGACTTACATGCTGGCAGTGTAGTAAAATTCATCACTCCAGTGTGGGTTGTACCTAAGCAGTTGCTAGAATCAATTGTAAACTGATAAACATTGTCTTCCTCAAGACCAGTCAAGACTATGTATATCATTATAGGTTTATCAACAGAACTAGAACTCATCCTAGTCACTGAAACTGCCTGTGTTGCCTGAAATTGTTGCCCAGTGTAACTGATGCTGTAATTTTCATTTGCATAAGAAGTTTTTGGTATTATAAAGGATATATTAGCACTTGTTGTTCCAGGAATAGTTGTTACAGATGTAGCAGCAAAGGGTAGGATAGTACCTACATAAAGAGTAGAAAAAATAAATTTGAAGGCTATAATTACATTATGCTAGCTCATCAAGAAT